TTATGGCTAATTTGACTCCTCTTCACTCTCCTTGTTAATTATTAACACTAGCCTTTTTATCCTCATGAGACCAAATTCCAATTTTTTCCCTTTTTCGATTTTTATGAGCCCATCTTTATGAAGGTGAAAGTCTTGGGGAACAGGTTTTCACTTAGCACAGAGCCCGAACATTTATTATTCCTTTAGTCAGAGACGCTGTGACATTGATTACATAAGCACGGGTGTTCTTCAGGCTGGCTTTAATGTGCTAGCAATGTGAAAAGGCTGTTAATTAAGGAAGAAGCACCGTGGTATTTTTCACTTGGGAATCAGTCCCCAATAGAATGGTCATTTGCCACTTGCTAGCATATCCACAGATTAAAAGGTGACTGTCTGCAAGAGCCTGCCTTTCAGGAGTGCTGAAAGAAATGATCTGTGCCATTTGTAGATGGCTTTCATTTGTCAGGAGCGGTCACTGGCTGCATCTATTCTCTACGGGACAATTGTGGAAAATACTATGCAAGGGTACAATCTATTCATAGTGGCATTGTAGTCATTTAGTTATCATTTAACTAACATGGTAATTGCTTCATTATGAAAACATTTGTTTTCCCTGCAACTTTTAATACATTGCTCTTTCAAATGTGCGTCCTTGGATAGCTCTTAAAGCAACTGCCTGTCTAATTATCTCTAGTTGGGGGAGCAGATGGGGTACACAGAGGCAGCGTGGAAGGCAAGCAGAGGCGCAGTCTTTTTTGGCCAGGAATGGAGCCTAAGTTTGTTTACCTCACCAGCTTTGCTCTGGGAATCAGTGGGTGAGGCCATGAGGGTGGAAGGTTGCGGACAGTTGCTAAAAGCGTGATGCAGCTGGTACTCTTCCCCCTGAGGAAAACCACATTTCATCTCCAAGTGTTCTCAGAGCTCCAGTGAGCTCTCATCATTGTTAACTGCAAGGGAAGACACACAACTCACACATCGTTATCTTTCTCCTCCTTAGAAGAGAAACTGAATTTGAGGTCTTTGCTCCCTTTCTCCACTAATTACCCAGGGAAATCTTGTCACAGATGCTTCCTAGCCTGTATGCGAAGATAACTCATTCCTCTATCTAACCCTTTCTGTACTCGAGAACCAACACTGTCTTTCTGTCCACACAACTCGGTGCCTTATAAATACTTTCTAGGTTAAAATCAAAAGTTCAAGGAATTCTTAAAAGTCTGATATTGTTGCGTAATTGCCCCCAGAATATGTTTTCTTACTGTGGAACGAAACTGGTGACAATGTGATCTTGTCCCAGCCCCACCTCTATTCCTAATTCCCTGTGGGTAAAGCCCCTGCTCAGGCTCACTGCCCTCACCAGCCTTAGTCTCCTCAGCTGGAAAACCAAGAGACCTTTCTTAGGATCCCCCACTCCACACACACACACAGGCCAAAAGATAAAACAGTTCATTTTAAATATCAAGCATGAAGATTTTAATACAAAATGATGGTAAATAACTTATGGGGCCAGTAAAAGCTGTTCATCTACAAAATATAAATTATAATTGTTATCTAATTTTGAATGGTCTTAGTCATTTTAAATTTTGGAAAAAAATGAACATATGATTAATTATTTATTAGTAATGCATCATGATCATTTAAAATCCTCTGTAATTAGCAGTACACCCTCTGTAGCAACACCTCCCCCCATACACAGTCATTTTTATAAGGAAGCACCATTTATTCAGCAAATTATCTCCCATCCCAACACTAAACACTCAAAGCTCTCTGGTGCTAGTGTTTCTGGGTAGTTTAAGTTATAATTAATTGGGATTTGGACAATAACTCTAATTGGGTCAATATGGTAAAAACTGCAACAGCATGTCCGTTATGTAAATCTCCCTTGCAAGGGGAACTAAAGGAAAGACAATGTTTTCCCATAGATTTCAAAATGGATAATTTGAGGGCAGTTTAAGTTGACACTAAATATTTAAACAGATTTCACAAAAACACTATAGAAGGAATGTAATAAAACAAACACATGATTATTTACAATTGTCTTAATTATAATCAAAAGTGATAGTAATAGCCAGAAAAAAAGAGTATGTTTTAGCAACTGCTGAGAATTATTTAGTGGCCTTGCTTTTGAAAGAAAACTTGTGAGTTTGGGATGAAAATTATTCATCCTCTTTCAATTCCCCAGGCTGCACCAATCTCCCAGTACCAAAAGGAAATTATGGCACTGGGGAACTTTTTATTTACCTCACTACATGAAGGAGCTGTTTTTCTCAGAAATAATTGATGTTTTCTAAAATCTGTTAATCATTGCAAAATCCAAGCCAAGATATAGGCACCCTCAATTTTGACAGGGCCCCAAAGAGGTCTCTAATAAATGCTTCTCTGCTGGTCTCTGACTGCACAGCAAAATAGCCCCAAATAGGACCATTTGTGTTAAACTGTAGTTAATGTTAAGGACACATTACAAAACAGGAGTGAAACATAAACCTCTCATGAACTCAATATTTGTGAATCTACTCCTCAAATTAAAATCCCGTGGTTCTCTTGGGTCTTGAGAGATGGCTCAATGGTTAATATTCCTTGTTATTCTTACTGACAGCTGCCTGTAACTCCAATTCTAGCAGACCTATGTCCTCTGTGATGCATACATACATGTGGTGTCCATACATATACCAAGGCACACTTATATACATATCAAATAAAGATTAAACAATGTTGTGGTTCTTACTCTGATATTTCAAAAATTTACACTTGAAAATGCATGAATATTTCTCAAAAATAAGTGTGAAACAATATTAAAATGATTTACTTGTGAATATTCAAGAAAAATTTCAAGAAACCTATAAAGTATTTTATTTTCCTATATGAAAAGTCCAAGTATTTTATGTAACTTATATGGTTTATTATCTTTACTATTTGAATCTGAACATTAACTAACTATTCTTTTTGAAGAAATGCCAACACAGATAATTAATACGGTTATTTCTTTGTGTGTATATGTATGTTTTCTCATATACACATATGGGTGGAGGACAGAATTCAACCTCCAGTGGCCTTCCTCAGGAGTTATCCATATTGCTGCTTGAGACAGTGTTACTTACTGGTTTGGATTTTACAGATTATGCTAGGCTGGCCAGCCAGTGATCATCAGTGATGCATCTGTTTCCACCTCTCTAATCCTGGGACTACAAGGGCATATCATCATGCCTGGTTTCTCATGCTGGTGTTGGGGTTGAACTCAGTTCCTCATATCCCCAAGTACTTATCATCCTTGTGTTTTTGTTCAAATGGAGGAAGCAGTTTCAGGAAGACATCTATACTTATTTACCCCTGACTTAGTACATAATTCATGTGCTTATTGTTATACATAAAAGATAAAGTTTAAAAATAAAAGTAGACCTCCATTTGTCAGCAGAATGGGAGTGATGACAGGCAACTAAGAAAAGAAAGGCTTCCAGAGCCTTCTGTCTGGAAGAAAGGAACAGAACCGGCCTTTCTGAGCTGGCTGGGGCCGACATGCAGAATGAATGATTCAATGTAGACAATTAAATGTATTAGGCTCTTCTGAACACAGGCATTGTGGCTGAATCTGAAGTAGGAATTGTCTCTTAGTTCTTTGGCTTTACAATAAACACTTTTTGGAAATTAAATGAAGCTGAACAGAATGGATAAAATGATGGAAATACTCAGGACTGAAATTCCAGATAGAATGCCTACAGTATCCATGATACCCACTTAGCATCTATTACATGTGAGTCATCATTCAATGTATCCTCACTACCAATGACCCTGTAAGTGTAATTACCCTTCTCCTTCTATAAATAAAGACCTTATAGCCTAGAGAGGTTAAACCACTGTCAAAGGTCAAGTGGCAGAGATGTGACTCTATGGAAGGAAGCCAGTGTTGTTAAGTACTATATACCTCGATACCTTTCTTACTTATAACAGGGGTTCTCAGTCTGGCTGATGTCTGAAATCTGTGATGGACTTGAGGTATACAGCATCATGCTTTCATATCTAAGTGAATTTCTTTCTCAGAAAGAAATTTTTTGAGAGGAGTAGACTTAAAGGGATGAATGACTAGACAGATATCAAGTTCTAACAATGAACAAAACCAAAGAGTAATTAAAAAATTAAAACTGCAACTGTAAAGACATAGATTTAATTTTAAAACTGAAAGAACGCAAAAAAAAAAACCCTTTAAAGAGAGAACTAAATTGACTTGGAGTTTGAAGATACAGAAAGTATAGAAAGTATGGACAGAGTGTAAACAGCCTTTGGCAGTAGGAGTATAGTCTGGGTAACTCAGGTGACATGATGACCACAGTTCTGAGGACCACATTTCAAAGCTACACAGAGAAATTGAGTCCACCATGGTGTATAACAGCAAGAACAGTATGGAGTAGGGAATTAGTGATCCCCCCCCCCCCCGCATACATACACAGAGTGTAAGAACAATTACTGGTAACTGAACCGAGTCTAGGGAAGATGGAAAAGCCTATCACAAGAAAGGCTCATAAATCTTTATGCTGCTATTTTAATAAAAACCAGGTTTGCATTGGCGCTATACCACCTACTAGAATAACCATGCAAGTTATTATGCTGGGAAACAGCCGCAATAGAGGACCCTTACTTAGTCTTTGGTTTCTAAATACAAGTCATACACGTAGCAATAGTTTACAATCATCTGAGGAAAACATCTTAATCCTAGTGCATTTAAAAGGTAATCTTGACACTCAGAATGTCTTTCAGAGATGGATGCAGTCTCATGTACTCTGTCAATAGCAGACTTTCTAGGTTTTCTGATCCTCAAGGTACAATGAGAAAGCTGTGCATTCCAGATAGCAGCTGATCTGCAGTTCAGTGAATGGTGTGAGGTGTCATCTCCCGTAGACTCTGGCATGAGAGACTCAAGCAAGCTGGTGACTCTTTAAAAAATCAAACCTGGACTGTGTACATACATATTCACAGATGGTATGTACCTATCCCTTGCCATTTCATATAGGAAGGGAAATCCAAGTACTCACTGTCATTTCTGAGGAAATTATTCAGCAGCTGGAAAAGAGGAAAGCTATCCCATGAGTCTTGAGGTTGTGCCTCCAGCGCAGTATCCATATCTACTGTGAATAAAGCCCAAAACTTCTCTGCATGTTCAGCCAACAAGTCTGGCCACCAGGCAAATGCCTGCAAGATGATAGAGAAGTAAAGGAGAAATTGATGACTTATTAGAAAAATGTACAAACACTATGCCCCTGAAAACATGGACAACATGCCTCAATTTCACAAAAGTAGACATATAATAAATGAAATATCATATTTTTCTTTTTCTTTTCTTTTTTTTTTCGAGGCAGGGTTTCTCTGAGGCTTTGGAGGCTGTCCTGGAACTAGCTCTTGTAGAGCAGGCTGGTCTTGAACTCACAGAGATCCACCTGCCTCTGCTTCCCGAGTGCTGGGATTAAAGGTGTGTGCCACCACCATCTAGCCTTTTTTAAGATAAGAAATTTTATAGATATCACACATACATGAACAAATTTGCCATTAATAAATAAATGAAACTTAAAATAGATATTGATTTCCTCTGGAAACCAGGCATAAATTAAACCACAGGAAAACTTATAATATAAAACAAAAAGACAGAAAATTCCATCTAAAAAATTCTGCACAACTAATGTGAATGTTTCTAATATTTCCTTTATTATGAATAGAAATACTGACATATTTGCCACCATACTATATGATACTTTCCTTTGATTTTTTGTCTTTCACAAAGGCAGTACTATGAGACTATATTGCCTTTTGAAACCATTCGCCCTTTAAACAACTTTCCCCAATTTTTGAGATTCCCAAGGACAGTGTGGAAAGATCTTTACAAACACAACCTTGACTAAAATACTGATTACTTTATTATGGTTTGAAGATGAAGTGTCTCTCCAAAAGGTGTGTATTGGAGGCAATGTTTGTAGAAGAAAGATTACTAAGGCTTAAATCACACATTGATCCTCACACAATGATAGTGGAAGAGTTCAATACCCAACTCTCACCAACAGACAGGTCAAAAACTACACAGAGAAATTCTGGAGCTAACAAACATTTTGAACCAAAAGGACCTAACAGATATCTACAGAACATTTCACCCAAACACAAAAGAATACACCTTCTTCTCAGCACCACACAGCATTTTCTCCAAAATTGACCACATACTTAGTCACAAAGGAAGTCTCACCAGAATGAAGAAAACCGAAATAACCTTCTGTATCCTATCAGACCACCAATACAAACTAGATTTCAACAACAGAAGCAACATCAATCTTACAAACTCAGAGAAACCAAACAACTCTACTGAATGACTAGGTCAAGGCAGAAATAAGAAAGAAATGAAAAACTTTCTAGAATTCAATGAAAATGAATACACAATATACCCAAACTTATGGAACATAATGCAATTGGTCCTAAGAGTAAAGTTCAAAGCACTAAATGTCTACATAAAGAAATTTGAGAATTCTTATACTAGCAACTTAACAGCATACCTGAAAGCTCTAGAACAAAAGCATCGAGCAAACCCTAGAGGAATAAATAGCAGGAAATAATCAAACTCAGGGCTAAAATGAATAAATTAGAAACAAAGAGAACAATACAAAAAGAAACTAACTTGGTTCTTTGGGAAAAATCAACAAGATAGATAAACCCTTATCCAAACCAACTAAAAGATGGAGAGAGAATATCCAAATTAACAAAATCAGACATAAAAAAAAGGGGGGATATAACAAAACACACCAAGGAAATCCAGAGAATTAGGTCATACCTTAAAAAAAAATCTATACTCCACAAAACTAGAATATCAAAAAGAAATGGAAAATTTTCTTCATACATATCACTTACCCAGTTTAAACCAAGAACAGCCAAACAATTTAAGTAGAAATATAACCCCTAAGAAAATAGAATCAGTAGAACCAATTGGGAGACTTTTAGTTACTGTTTCAAAAAGCCCAGGGCCAGGCAGTTTTAGTGCAAAATTCTACCAGATTTTCAAAAAAGATAATGACAGTACTGTTCAAATTATTCCACAAATTCATTTCATGATGCCACAGTCACCCTGATACCCAAACCACACAAAGATCTAACAAAGAAAGATGATTATATAATTATAGACCAACTTTCCTAAAAAAATGATGCAAAACTACTCAATAAAATATTTGCAAACTGAATCCAATAATGTATCAAAATGATCATCCACTATGACCCAGTGGGCTTCATCCCAGACATGCAGGAATGGCTCAAGATATGAAAATCAAAGAGAAAGAAAAAAAAACCTCACATGACCATCTCATTAGATGCTGAAAAAGCCTTTGACAAAATCCAACACCCCTTCATGAAGGTCTTGGAGAGATCAGGGATATAAGGAACATATCTAAACATAATAAAAGAACTTACAGCAAGCCTATAGATAACATCAAATTAAATGGAGAGAAATTCAAAGTAATTCCACTAAAATCAGGAACAAGACAAGGCTGTCCATTCTCTCCATATCTATTGAATATAGTACTTGAAGTTCTAGCTTAAACAATAAGACAACTAAAGGAGATCAAGGGGATACAAATTAGAAAGGAAGAAGTCAAAGTATCATTTGTAGATGATATGACAGTACACATAAGTGACCCCAAAAATTCTATCAGGGAACTCTTACAGCTGATAAACACCTTCAGTAATGTGGCTATATACAAGATTAACTAAAACAACAACAACAACAACAACAACAACAACAACAAAACAAAACCCAGTAGCCCTCCTATATGTAAATGAAAAATGGGCTGAGAAAAATCAGAGAAACAACAACCTTCACAATAGTCACAAATAATATAAAATGTCTTGGGGTAACTGTAACCAAGCAAGTGAAAGACTTGTATGACAAAAACTTTGTCTTCAAAGAAGGAAACTGAAGAATATATCAGAAGATGGAAAGATTTTCCATGCTTGTGAATCAGTACAATTAACTGAATAAAAATGGCCATCCCACCAAAAGCAAGTTACATTTTCAACACAATCCTTATCAAAATTCCAACACAATTATTTACAGATCTTGAAAGGACAATGTCCAATTTCACATGGAAAAACAAACAAACAAAAACCCAGAATAGCTAAAACAATTCTGTACAATAAAAGAACTCCTGGAGGTATCACCATCCCTGATTTCAAGCTCTACTACAGAGCTATAGTTAACAGAAATTGCACAGTATTGACATAAAAAAAGACATGTTGATCAATGGAATTGAATTAAAGACCCAGACATAAATCCACACACCTAGAGACACATGGTTTTTTGATAAAGAAGCCAGATGTATACAATGGAAAAAAGAAAGCATCTTTAACAAATGGTGCTGGTCTATCTGGATGTATGCATGTAGAAGAATGCAAATAGATCCGTATCTATCACCCTGAACAAAACTCAAGTCCAAGTGAATCAAAGACCTCAGGATAATACCAGACACACTGAACTAGGCCAAAGGGAAACTTAGTGCCTTATGGAAATCAATATGGCAGTTTCTCAGAAAATTGGGAATCAACCAACATTAAGACCCAACTATACCACTCTTAGGCATATACCCAAAGAATTTTCCATATGATCACAAGGACACTTGGTTAACTATGTTCATAGAAGATTTACTGATAGTAGCTAGAAACTAGAAACAACCTCATGTCCCTCAACTAAATAATTTACGAAGAAAATGTGGTACAGTTACACATTTACTCAGCTGTAAAAACCAATGACCTCATGAAATTTGCAGGCAAATGGATGTAACTAGAAAAATCATTCTGAGCGAGGTAACCCAGACCCAGAAAGACAAAAATGGTATGTACTCACTCATAAATGGATATTAGGTATAAGGTACAGGATAAACAATCTAAAATCTACAGTCTTAGAGAGGATAGGTAACAAGGTGGACCTAAGAGGGATGCATGGATTTCCCTGGGAAGGGGAAACAGAAGAGATCTTCTAGGCAAACTGGGGGTGGGGGTGGTGGAATAGAAACTTGAGAAACAAGGTTGGGTGGGATGGGCATGGGAGGGAGTGGGGGCGGGATGGAGGGAGAGAGTAACAAAAGAGACAAGAGACATCTTAATGAGGGTAAACATCAGGGTTAAGGAGAATTTGGTGCCAGGGAAACTCCCAGGAATCTACAAGGATGACCCCAGTTAAGACCCCCAGCAATAGTAAAGAGGGTGCCTGAACTGGCCATCTACTGTAATCAGATTGGTGACTTCCCTAATTGTCATCAATGAGCTTTTATCTAGTAACTGATGGAAGCAGATGCAGAGATCCATAAGGAAGCACTAGGCCAAGTTCTAGGAGTCCTCCTGAAGAAAGGGAGGAGGGATTGTATGGGGGGGGGTCGCGGTCTTGACGGAGGAACCCACAGAGACAGCTGACCTGAGCTCGTGGGAGCACATGGACCCTGGACCTACAGCAAGGGAGCCTGCATGCAACCGATCTAGCCCCTCTGCATGTGTGTGATAGTTGTGTAGCTTGGTCTGTTTTTAAGACTCCTAGCAATGAGATCAGGACCTGTCCCTGGCACTTGGCTGGCTTTTGGGAATCTCTACCCCATGGTGATTTGCCTGGTCCAGCATATATGTGGGATGGAGGGGTGGGAGAGTGGGGTACGAGCAAGGTTGGCCCTACCTTAACTTGATGTGCCATGCTTTGTTCAAGCCCATGGAGGAGGAGTGGATGGGGATAGGGTAAATGGGAGTAGGTTGGGGATGTGAGTTCAGTGGAAACTCAAGTGACTATAGTGAAGACTCCTAGTAAAGTATAAATCTGAAGCCTGAATCAGCCATCTTCTGTAACTAGGAAAGTTACAGAATGGTGGGACACCAGCCCAATCACAAAACCTTCAAAGTACAACTTGTCCTGCCTACAGGATGTGCTGGGCTAACGGTGGCATAGAACTCATGGGAGTGGCCAACCAGTGACTGGTCCAGCTTGAGGCCCATGTGTTGAGAAGAAGCCCATGTCCATCACTGCCTGGATGGCCAGGAACTGGAGGCTGGATAGCCCACAGATCTAAGACAGAGCCAAACACGACCTACAAAAACAAAAGTCAATGAAATGATTCCTAATGATATTTTGCTATACTCATACATTGGTGCCTAGGCATTCATCAGAGACACTTCATCCAGCAACT